ACCTGCAAAAATGGCATAAGGGGTCACTTTACAGGCTGTATCTGAAGTCCTTGGAGTCACATTTATCTTCTACCTAGCATATTTCTTTAAAGTGCTAAAGATGTGGTATCTTATGCTTCATTTCACAAATGCAGAGGGCTGAAATGATGGAAAGGCATCATATGCACATGTGTGCATATTTGTGTGGAGAAAAATACAGATGTATTATATATGCAATGTTGATGACACATGTATATGCACAAATTTACATCAAAGAAGATCAAATATGTTCTAAAATGAGCATACTTATAAAGCAGGATTTTAAGTATTTATCTTAAGACCTAAAAGGACCATATAAATAATCTAGCTGAGGCCAGTAAGAAGAAAATGACATGACCAATTTCATACTAGAAGCTTACATCAGACTCAAGATTTGAACCCAGTCCTATCAAAGCGGAGTTTAAGAACGAGCAAACTAATTGATGATTCATATTCATTATCAAGTTGAGCTCTTCAGTGCTAGGTGACTCTTTCAGCCAGCTAAGTCTGAGAGCCCCAAGCACCACTTTTTTTCTCAACCTTGGTTTTCAACTTGGTCTTTCCCTTTGTGCATATCATTGGACAGCCTGAACTTCTTTTACCTCCCTGAGATTCCTCAAATCAGTGACTCAAACCAGCAGCCCTTAAAGTTCTGATGCAAATGTCTCCTCTTATCTCTTTCATTTCTCCAATAATGCTAAATTTTCTCCATAGAGCTTCTTTCTTACTGTTCCCCACTTAGCGAATCTCTCTCTCTCTCTCTCTCTCTCTCTCTCTCTCTCTCTCTCTCTCTCTCTCTCTCTCACCTATCTGGTATTTAGTTCTTCACAAACCAATGTTATCTCTCCTACTGGACTCTAAACTCTTCGAGGGTAAGACCTGTGCCAGATTTATTTTTAATTCCCTATGCAACTATTACAGTTCCCAGAATGCTGTAGATCTTAAATATTCATTGGTTGAATAAATGATAATGTGCAAACATCACAGACAGGAAAATCTTTGTGATTATTTGTCATTTTCAATAATGAAACTACCATATCTATAAGATGGATCGGTTCCTAAATAAAACTATAATTTCCTAAACTGAGTAGATTCTGATCTTGATTTGTGAAAGCCAACCACTACACTGTTTAATGTTGTTAAAGTATAAGAGGAGGAAAGGATTTTATGCTTGACAACTGCTCTCTCTCTCTCTCTCTCTCTCTCTCTCTCTCTCTGTAACAGATGTCAACCTCGGTTAGATTCAACACAACTTATTGGTGCATGGCTTTTAGCCAAAAGCAATTCACATTTTCAGAAGTATACTATCACATATGTCTTAATAACAGAAATGTGTTTTTTAAAATATATGTGATAAGTCACATATGGTAAGAGAAATCTGTACATCTCTTAGGCCTTGCTGTCACAATAAAATTCTGGAGACGATTGCTGTAAATCATTAACTAAAATACAAGTGTAAGTTTCTCCCTCTGACACATTAAAGAAACACAGTCTTATCACACTAATCAAGCTTTGTTACCAGTGTGGTTCCAATATATTGAGAAATTCACCAGGCACCTCTTGTCTTGATAATTGATTTTAAGAATGTTCACTTTTGAGTCTTACCTTCAGAGGTAATGTTCAATGTTTCAAGGTAAGGTTACTAGTGTTGCCAGGCACATTATGTACTTATATTCAAAAGCTATGTATTTAGTTTCTCCCTTATATGGAGTCTAATGAATGTGGGCCATAGTCTCCCTATGGTGATAAAAGAAGCTTACAACTATGAAAGTATTAAAACTAAATTGGGTAAGTTGTTGAGAAATGGGGAGGGAAAGGCAGCCCTTTAAAAGAGGAAAATATGCAAACTAATGGATATTGGAAATCATTTGCTCTCACACCAAATTAAAGCTTACTTAGCCTTAGTTAGATCCGGAAATAACAGAGTTTCAGAAAATGCAGGTGCCTTTTGCAGTCTACTCATCTGACTGCAACTTGGAAGACTGGTAACATTCTCTACATAGAGGTCTACTGGTTTCTGAGTCATCATCATCTTCATGGATCCTATGTCTACTAATTTTTCAAATGCCAAAAAAGGAAAAGATTGCTAGTTTAAGCTTCAGAGTCATGAAAACATTGAGTGCCTTTTTCTACCTGACTAACTACAGCAGGATTCCGCAAACCATGTTCCATAGTGGCTGGAAGACACACGTGTTTGGCTTTGTGCATTGCATACAATGCTTGTCACAGGACTCTACCACTGTAGTACAAAAGCAGCCATAGATAATAGAGATATGAGTGAATGTGGTTGTGTTCCATTAAAAGCTCATGCATAGATACAGAATTGGGAACTTTATCTATTTTTCACCTATCATGAAAGTCATCTTTGGATTTTTCCCACCATTTGCCAAGCTCCACACAAAAAGATAATGTCTAGTCACGTGGATAATTGTCTTTGTCAACTGATGATCATACTTCACTTGCGACTTATGCCACCAGACCTCAACATTCAAGCAACAGGGCACACATATAGGCCCTGACTACAGTTAAACATTAATTCCTGCACTCAAAATTGGTCAGAAGCAAAGCAGCTAGAAGGGACCAGAGAAACCTGGGAACATTTTTACTATGTAGTATGAATCAAAAATACTGGACGTTGGGAAACTTGGCTAAGTTAAATCATGCAAGTCTTTCTAACCTCATGGGCACACTGTATCTCAGGAGAGCCACCAGCCTTGTAAGTCTCTAGTCTTGCAAGCTCCTGAAAGGACGTGTCCAACCTTGTTTACTTGTTCACTCATTCAGGAAACATGGATTGAATCTTTACTTCAGGTCCCAGTGTACTGTGTGTAACCAAAATTTTCTGGCAGGCATCAGAAATGATAAGAGGACCATTATAAACGGTACTTTTAAAAAAGTTGGATCTGATCTGTTCTTCTGGAAGACAGTGAAACTGAACCATATTCTGGAGTTTTTGTCTTAAGCTGAGCATTTAAGGAGGCCTCTCTTCAAGTGGCTATGCAATCAATATCTTATCCAGTCTTACACTTAGGCCATACATTAGGAGAGAGTTTGAAGTACCTACTAGTTGGTCAGGACTTAGTTTTATTACTAAGCAGATTTTTTTTTTTTTATTGGTACCAGGGATCGAACTCACGACTGCCTGCTTGCAAGGCAGGTGCTTATGCCGCTGAGCTAAATCCCCAGCCCCTACTAAGCAGATTTTAAAACATATTTTTATGTTATGTTATGTTATGTTATGTTACGTTACGTTACGTTACGTTACGTTACGTTACGTTATGTTATGAAGACTACCATCATTCTTTGGCGCTTTCGGTTTTCCTATCTCTAAAACATTCTTTACAGTGGTAGGCATTAGATAGAGCCTGCACTGTGAATTAACAAGACCTCATAAAAAGTATATCTGTAGGGTTAGCTTCTCACAAGTAGTGAAAAGAGCACTGAGCCCATTTCCAAGCCAGCAGCATCCAATGTGGCTGCAATGGAACATAGCCCCACACAGTCAAGGACTGTGCCGTACATGCATAGATGGAGCTTGGGGCTCAATTCCTCCTGAGAGGGCTTGAATTTGGAGATATTTACTCCAGCCAAAGCCTAGATTTACACTCCTGCTACTCTCACCCTAGCCCCTGTGACGGGGGCCACACATGAGCATGCAGGCAGAATGGAGGGAGGGGCACAGTGGGACCGTGGTTAAGAGGCTCACTAATGGCCCACCCAGGGACTGCAGCCCTGGTCCTGGCCTCATTAGCACCATCCTCTAATTCACAGAGCTTTCCAGCACAGGCTCACAGTGGAGGAGCCTTGAGGGCATACAGACAGAAAAGAAATTAGGCTGCAGAGAAGATTTCAACTTTAACCAAACAAGCAGCCAAAAGCTTGGCAAATGCAAATGCTTCCATAGAAGCACTACAGCATAACACGCATGCCCCTCCAGAGGCCACAGAGGCTTGATGGAGAATACCCTGTGGTCTAGGAACAATGAAATTTAAACACAAAGTGCATACTGTTTGAGGGGAAATGCATTAGGGCTTGGACTTAATACTATTCTAAACATGAGTGGTGTGCCCTGGAATAGTTAGTTCTTTTTATACAACACGAGTGGCTTTTTTGTCTTTGGCATTAGCTGATCCACTCTCCCAGAAACTAATAAAAATCAATGCACTCCTCATTTCTGTATTTGGTGTCAGCTATAATGAAAGCTGGCTGACATAAATAGACACATATTTCCTAGGCATGTGATATTACCAGACCTATAATAACCCAGCAAATAAAGCAGGTCCTCCCTTTGCCACATGGCTCAAAGGATTGGTATGCATCGTGACATTGCAGTCAGATGTCACAGACCCAAAGGACAAGACAGCCATCTTTCTTAATTTGAAAGTTTTCTTTCTGGAAGGGACATGATGTCTAAGAAGTATTATGTTTAAAAAAAGAGTACTATGTAACATTTTATAATTTCCGGGTGTCCAGTACAATGCTTCAAGAATACCTCTATATAACCTTTAAAAACCTTTAGTTAAATGTATTTTTATGAGAGTTTCATTAACAGAGTATCTGGGCCATAATGGCAACGTACCAAATGTCCCTCTGTGTCTGAGATCCTTTGACACATTTTAACCATTTACATCCCTCACAGGTCCAAGATTTATAATTTAAAATGTAATCTTTTTAGAGTGTTCAAAACTCAAAGGCTTGAAGTAGTATGAAAGAATATGATTATAATAGTATTTCCAGCTATTCATGGGTGGCACATATTAATTTATGCAAACTGGATATGACTTGGGGCATTCCCTCATCAGGGCTACAGGGGCAAATGTAAGCTAGTCCCTGCTCATTGGCGAGCTCTTGCTGTTTTGTCCTTAAATTGTCATAAGTAGAGGTTTACTCAAAATCCAGGTCTCTTCCGTGACCTTATTTTTTTTCACATTCACGAAATCCATTAACAATAATGTTTCCCACTAATAAAAATAATAACTTACTTCACAGGATTATTCTTAGGTTTTGCTTTTTCGACAGCCTGTAAACAGAAGAAAAAATGCAATTAGGTAACATTAGTAGGCAACATCTTTGCATCTAGGAACCAAACAATAAGCAATATAAAAGAGTAAGGAGCTAAGTGAGCAGGGTACTGTTGAGAAGTAGACTGGACACATAATAAAGAGTAATTTTCTTCTCCCAGGTAACAGTTTACCTGCATGAGCACAGCTTGCAAATACTGGCGTGCACTGTCACGGCTACTCACAAGTGCAGCCGGGACCCTAGGAGTAGACTCTGAAGTCACAATGAGGTGCCCCCTCCACACCTTTCACTCTTAACCCATGCAGGCCTCATTGACTTGTGATGGCAGCAAACGGATGGCAGTGGTAGGGAGCCACTCACCGTGCCGCTACTCTTGCCAACTGGCCCACACATGCACCATGATAGAAAGGCCACAATGTCCATTTCTAAAATCACTTTCATAAGCAAACAGCACGGAAGAGCAAGGAATGGCCAAATATTGAGATCAATTTCCTCCCGTGGAACCTTTAAGAAACTACAAATCAAATCCTGAAATGAGGAAAATCTCTGGGCCTTTGGGCCTGTGTCACCTTAGACATGGAGCCTGGTTCCAGTTTATTGCTGAACCCATTGATCTGTGTACAGTCCATTTATCATTCATGAAAAGAGCTAGTGATCTTCACAGTATATTAGAAGAAACAACTCAGATCATCTGTCAACAGCCCTCTTATTTCTGTTTCCTTCTCCACAGGGATTTCATCTCCTTCGATTCTTCTGGAATTAAAATGTTGCTAAGCAACACAGCTGGGGGCGCTGATGGCAGAATGGCTACAGTCTATCAAACTGTTTAAGCACCTGGAGGGTTTTAGTGATGATATTTTTCATATTTCTGCAGCATAATTATGTAATCAGAACCAAACTTGTACTCCCCTAGACTGTTTTCTGGCTATAGAAATAGCATTAATATGGAGAACGCTGAAGGAGAGGTTTGACAACCTAGGGGATGTTCACACTCTTTGAAAATTATCTATTAGGGGACCTTTATAGTTGTGAATCTTGGAGGTAGGTAAGGGCCAAGGGGAATAAGAGATTGCTGCTGTGAATTAGACTGCAGAGGCAACCATTCTTAAGAGACAATAACTAACCTAACACTAGACTTGACCTTCTGGGTGGCCACAGAGAATCAGCATAATGAACCTCTATTCATATAAACACAATGTACTGAATAGCAATTAAAAAAAAAAAAAACTACATTTCCCAAGTTTAGAATTTAGTGTTGGAAATCCAAGTCCTTTAAGTGTATTAAATGTCAGGTTCTGTTGCTAGATAAATTCCTCTTAATATTTTGGGGGCACTTTCTTTGACTTGAAGATAAAAACCATTTTCCACCACCCTACGCCCAAGTTTCAACTTTGTTCCAAGCACTAAAGTAAAAAAAAGGTAGGAAATGGGGTACTAGGTGAAAACAAGGAAACAAGAGATATGTGTCTGGCTGGTCCAAGTCATGTTTCATGAATACCTAGGATATGAAAGCCAATCTTTGCATTGTTCGGGTAGAGGATACTAACACCACTCACCCGGTAGATTCTGCCAGGTCAGGCACGCAAAGGATTAGGTAGATGCTGGCAAGACCAGTGGGCCAGAGGGGCTGGCCGCCAACCTTTCCTGCAGTTATGGTACCCTGTCTGTGCAAGCACACACACTCGCACCTTTGCTCCACCTTGCCACCCAAATCAGGCTGGTTGAGAATAATTAACAAAGTAAAGACATGTTAGCGTGGAAATCATGTGAAGCTATGCTTTCAATCCCCGAACATGCAAACCTAAGTCTATCATGAAGCAATAGATTTGTGTTCAAGTAGTTTCCTTTGAAGGCATGCTAGATGGGATAGAATGAGCATGCCACTGGCAAAAGATGGGGACAGAAATCAAAGTGACATCACTTACCCTAGCTTTGACTCAGAGATATGATGTTTGAAAATGTCTTCTCAGTTTTGTGTTTTGCAGCTGTCAATTAGACCCAATTATTTTCCTCTGATCAGGAGGACATTATCATAGCTGAGATTTCTTTGAAACCTGTCTTTTCTTTTTCACAGCTATTATAGGAAAACAACTTCATCCAAATTATTTTTTTCTGGCAGGCTTAGCTATTGATTGAAAATATTTATACTGAGAGGTTCTTTTCTATTTGGAAATTAATTCATAATCATTCAGACATTCCCACAGCTGTAACCAGATATACTCATGTCATCCTCTTGGTGTTCATCACTCTGAATGTCTAAACTCAATGATGGCAGGGTACCTCTGTCAGAAGAGACACAGTTCACAACTTATGTTCTTCACTGTCACTCTAATTTGACTTTGTTTTCGGCATGCCAAGAGGAATTCTTACACTAAGGAGTCACAGGATGAAAAGTTGAAGAACATTTTTAGGTGGAAATGATATGACTTTAAGGCATAAAACACACAAAGACAAAGATCCCCCTTCTGAAATTTGAGGACAAGAGAAGACAATTCCAGGCTTCAGCCCCATGGGTCAGAATGTGAGGTGTGATGCAGAAGGAAGGCATTTAAAAGAAAATGGCATAGTGCAATTCGCCAAGCATTGAGAAAGTTATATATTGGGATTGCAGCTAAATTTGAGCTTAAAAACATACATCAAAGTAATTTAAACTGATTGGAAAATAGAGGCCACATAGTTATGTCACTTTAATTTGTAATGTCTATATGCTTTTTGAAAACCTATGTTCTCCTTATTTTGGACTGCATTTCCTTAACATGGTGCTCGTCTCACCATCGAGCAAGCACTTGCACAGGAAAGCATGATAACAGACATTAAAATGCTGAAGAAAATGCTTTGATCTGTTATGAGGAGAGTCATAGTTTAAGAGTGCCATGCTACAAATACTACCAAAAAAGTTTCAGTCTTAGTTTTGCCACTTATGGTATTGACAAAGTACCAACTCCTTGGAGCTCCTTGCTTCTTTTAAAATTGAAGATAATCATCCCTTCCCTGTCTGCAGCAAGGGTCACTTGGAATCCCCAACATTGATGAGCCTGCTTGGGAGACTGCAGTCCACAGTGCACCTTGGCTGTGACCAGTTCCTACTCACGGGTTGGTGTGTAGAGTTCTAAGGTCCGATTGTTTGCAGGCTCACTGAGTAGTACTGGACCTGTGCGGTTATTCCAATGAGGATTATTGTGAGTGTTACGCTAGGGAGAATAGCACGCTTTTGTCTAAAAAAAGGAGGATTGAGATGTACTGTGATTCTACCGATACATCTGTTGCCAAGCAAGTGGAGGGCCCGTAACACCACACAGGATTTCTTGCATGAGTCTTCTTGGGGGGTGGTTTAGATGGACCAGAGCACCAAAGGTGGAGTGTGGGGGCACAAGCGTATATTGCAGACACTCAAATCCACCTTGCTCTCCAAGACAGTTGAGGAGGATTAGCCACTATTAACCCTTATTTTCTGGTGATCCCTCATGTAGCGTGCCATCCTTCCACTCTTCACTCCATTGGGGGACTCTGCCTTTTCATTACATTTGACCCTGAGAATGAGAAGTCCTGACTATGATCTTCCCGGGGATGGGGCATCTTGAGGAAGTGCTGCACGTGGCAGGGAGAAGGTCTTTCTCCAATCCCAAGGTCTGTTTATGGGCCACATCCTCTCTCATTACCAGTACTGTTGGAGGCACCCTGCTAAGCAGCAAATTTATTTCCTCCAGGGGGATAATGTGGCTAAGGACAGACTCATAGCTCCTCACTTTCATCAAATGTATCTTCCTAAAGTAAATACTCTTTCTTTTATGCAGAGACTGTTGTGCTGCACTGAAGCTAAACAGATGCAGACACCACTGTGAATTGTGAGAACCATGTAGTGTAAAGTTATTGCCAAAAAAGAAAAGGAAGGGGGAAAGAAAAGAAAGGAGAAGGGAAAGGAAAGGAAGAGAAAAGAAGGGAAGGGAAGGGAAGGGAAGGAAAAATAGAAGGTAAAAGAAAATTAAGTGCTATCTATGGAGTCCTCATCACTGCCGCATGATGACATCTTTTTGGAGACAGAAAATGCTACATATAAGCTACTTAGAAAATTTGCTAGTCATTTTCCATATGATCAGATTTTTCCAAAATTGCTTGAAAAGGTAATTCTGACCTTAGATGCCATCAGGTGCTGTTTTAGTCTTTTGACCTTTATCCTGTATTTATAGAAAATATGAAGAATCATTTTGAACTTTTCAGAAGAAGGCCTTGAATAGTTATAGACACCCACATAAAATTTCTCTCCTTCTGAGATTTATGGAAAACAAGTTCAATGATTCTGTTTTCTCTATGTTGAGCCTGTCAAAGTCAGCATTTGAATACCTTAGAGATATTGTAGCAATGGATTCCTTTTACAAGGCTATGTATATAGGCACTGCTTTTTTCCATAATCAATAACAATGCTGTCATTGAAGCCTAAAATGTGATTTTATTAGTATTTCTCTACATGGCTTTTATATTTTCTGTTTATATGTTCTTTCCTGGCATTCTACTTGCAGATAGAGCTAAGCTGAACATCTATAATCTGTTTCTTGATAAAAAGGGGAAAGTTAACTACTTAGGTAATTTCAAATTGCTTGATATTATTGGCTTTGTGTTTCATTGCTTATGCATTTGCCCCCTTCTTAAACTTTTTTCATAGCGCTGTGCTGGGAGACACAGCTACCCCCTAATCTAGAGATCTGTATTAGTGAATTGCATCGATTGCCTAAATTGAGAAGAGAAACTCTTCTATTAACAAATGAACTCATCATTAGGGTATTCAGATGGTCTAAAATCAATACCTACAGAATTGCTTAAATTAAATAGAGACATATACTGAAAGCACATGCCCAGATATAAAAAGAAATTGTTTAATTACAGCATCTAAGTAGATTTCATTGAAATGAGTGAAAAAAGAAGAGACACTGCATCCTACAGGCTGGGCTTTCCGCTGGCAGAAAGCACCCACAGCCAGGCTGGCAGATTATGAGGAGAAAA